CAGTAGTGATCTCAGCCCTACCATATTCAAGAGCAACCTTGATGTCTCTATATTTGTCACTAATGGAGTTTAACAAGACTACAACCAACTGATCTTTTGAAAGTTTTTTTTATCATGGTTGGCTAAGTCAAGGGTCAACTTTGTAAACATATTCAAGTTATCATCCAGATCAACAGAATGATCCATTTTGAAAGAAGAGAATTGTTTCAACAGAAAACATTTGTTAGGAATAGTTTTAGTCACATATTTGGCTTGCAATTTAGCCCACAGTTCAGAAGATGTTTTGGTCTCACCAATTTTTCTTACAACATTATCAGACAAGTACAAGAAAATAATACTCCATGCAACTTCTTCAAGTTCAGTTTTCTTAGCAGGAAGTAAGTCTGCAAGCCAAATATTATCAAGAGCCCTTGTAACTCTCATTTGCATTAAGATTGCTTTCATCTTTTGACACCAACTATTGAAATCATATTTACCATTAAATTGTGAAACTTCAAACTTAGCAAAAGCCATCTTTGAAAACAAGTATGATGCACAAGTAGGAATTCAAGATAATAGAAATCACAATCAGAGACTTACAACAATTACAGCAGCTCAAGAAATCACTGTAATACACTTAGTAATACAAGAATTCAAGTTTCAATCAAAGGACCAATAAAACATACAAGGCAAGCTCAATTAAAGAACACAACTGAGATCACAGGCTATGTTTCATAGATCACTCTAGCAAGATTCTCCAAGAACACACCCAAACTTGATTTATCTCAAATTCCAGAAGCCTCGTAGGAGCTACCGAACAAAGATTAGTCTCAATGGGTTTCGACGATGTTCTGAGAATCAAGGTTATGATCAAGAAACCCTAAAAATTTAAAGGCTTGTACAGAAATGAAAAAGATCTCACCCAACGAGTTAGCAAGAAACTCGATTTCTTTAACGTACTTTTCGACAGTTCCAAAATTTTTTGATCTACAATAGATCGAACCCTTTCTACGAAGATCCAGGCAACTTGTTCTTCAGTCCAAGGCTCTGATACCACTGTAAAGGCCCAAGACACATGATATTAAAACAAGATCCAAAAGAATCAATCACAAGCATAAAGTAAAGTTGTAGAAAATTAAAAGATTGAACATAAGATTTATTTTGGCCTAAGACCTAGAGGTTCGACGACCAGATCAAACGCCTACATCCCACGTTAAGCATCCAAAAATAGATATCAGCTCAGTTGCACTAACAAGCCCAAAATGGGAACAATATTACTGATCGTTCTTCAAATACAAGAGAAAGGCATAAAATCACCTATCTCTAAACACCAAATTGCAGATCGAATGAAGAAATCACACAAGATAGCATTTAACAGCCTAGTGCACTACAAGATTGCAAGAAACCCTTTATTCTTACAGCTATCACTCATACAACAGATTGCAGAGGCTAAAATACTAATTGATCTCAGTTTACAAGTTCATCACGAGGGATGAAGAACACGAAGATCTCAAACCCTAATTTACAAGAAAAGGAAAAAACTCTCAGGAGAACCTAGAAGAACGAAGAAGCTCAAGAGCCAAGATCGAGTGAATAAAATATCTGTCAAAGTGGTATATATATATCACACACCAACAAA